TCAGAGAACCGTTCCGTTGAATTGAGGTACATCTTTCTTTCAGACAAGTTCGAATCCAGGGCTTCACAAACATTTCTATCCCCTTCAGATTGTAACAACTGTATCTCTTGACAAAATGAGCTTGAAGATTTGGGTGGTAATGTGTTTTTGTGGGCCTTATATATAAATATTAAAATGTTGTAATTGACCAAATCAAAGAATTTCAAAATTTTCATTTTATTCAATAATTCATTTGACGGATGTATGTAGTATTTTCTAGCAATAATTCTTATGGCTCTTTTCTGCAAAACAAAAACTGGATTTGTGATTGTCCTGAAGGCTTTACCCCAAACTACAATACAATAAGACAAGTGAGGAACAATTATTGTATTATATAACAGAAACAAAGCTTTGTCATTAAATAACTCCTTCAATCTATAATGCACTCCAATAGATTTTGATATTTTTGCTCGTGAATAATTTATGTGTGATCTCCATGTTAGCTTATCGTCAATTTTGACACCCAGAAATTTCACCTCGCTGATGACAGATCTCTACTTTAAATGAGAAGTCACCAGTGGTCTTTATATTACTGAATATCATGTAATTTGTTTTTTTCCAGATTCAATGACAGTTTGTTTTTTGTTGAAACCAATGTTGTATTTTTTCAAATTCTTTCTGTGACTGCTCCATCATTTTTTTATGTTTTTTTCCTGAGCAAAAGAACGTGTCATCAGCAAACAAAATACAATTTAAAAATCCTGACACATTTACCAAATCATTCACATACAAATTAAACAACTTTGGTCNGTTAACACACTGCTTTAAAATAATTATTGAATACATAAAAGTTGAGAGTTGAGCAACTCCTGTTAATAATTATTCAAATTAATGTTACAAAACGTATTTAGTTAATAATAAAAATTGTTAGAAAAAATTTAGCTCTTAAGTTTTTTAAACCAACATGATTGACAAATCTTTTATTTTGAAAACCATCTCTTGATGAAAGGAGATTATAATCTACATTTATTTAAAGTTAATTTAAACCAAATAAAAAATAAAAAAAGCCTCTCTTTTTTTTGCAAACTTTATTTAATCTTCTCATTATTCTTGGCAGCCCTCTTCTTTCAGAAACAGACTAGATTGAAACAATCTTCGTGGAAATGTTTTCATTCGACAACTGAACTCTTTATTCTCACACTTGGATTCAGGCATCATTTATAAGGAATTATTGTTCAATGTCTTCTAAAAAAGTAAACTTCTGTAGAAGCGAAGCAGCGAATCACTGATCATCCAGATGCAGATGGATTATTTCTTACCTGTGGGGGAAAAAACAAACGGATTAAAAATGTCACCATTCCTAAGAATCTTAAGTAACATAATTCATCAGAGAGGGATTTGACCACTAAAATATTCACAAACATTTTTGAAAGTTTGTTTTAATAAAACCTGATTTTAAAACACTCACTGGCAATAAAATCAGACTAAAAGCTGCTTCTTCAAATAAAACCCAACGTAAATCCTGTCAACACTGCACTGAAACAGTGCTGATTACTGATGAAGAGGAGCAACAAAAAGATCAGAAGACTGGGAGCTAAATAACTTCTGATACAATAAATATAGTGTTGATGGTTTTAAACAACAAGCAAGTGTACTGCAAATGTCTCTCTGCATAAGCCACACATGGAGTCTATAATCCTAATTCAGCTCCTCCTTTCTGTCTTTAACTTTCTTCATGGAAGAGAAAAGCGCCGCAGCTTTCTTCAGAGCAGACACACACACACAGATCAGACAGGAACAAAACCCAAACGACACACAGAGACGAACATTTCCTAAGTAAAAACATCAACAGATGAACGGAGCTGGTCTCTGCATGGACCGATCACAGGCTCTGGTGCTGAGTGATGTGGCCCAGCAGCAGGCTCTGGATCTGGACTCTCTGTCTGTAGTGGTCCGCGGCCACAGAGGGGCTTCCGTCTGAACCAGTTGGTTCTGAAACAAGCCCCTGTCAATGCAGCATAGATTTACATGTTTCTGTGGTTTTTAAACTGTTGCTAAATTGTTTATTTTTACAAGAACTTACAGAACAGAAACACATTTTCAAACAATCCATGTTATACATTTTTAATCCTGTTATTTAAAGATAAAAGATCCTGAACGCGAGGTTAGGATCTGTTTTTTATTTATTATTATTATTATTATTTATTATTATTTATTATTGTTATTATTATTATTTGTAATCAAATTACTTCTGATAACTTTGTGTCACTTCAGCATATATCCAAACATTCAGCTCATTCAGGAGATGGATGCTATGACTTTTCAGATTTTTTAAACTTTATATATAACCTTTACTTCTACAGAAATACCTCTTCAATGTCCTCACTTTGTTTGCAGCTTTACTGTGCTTTACTAGTTAAGTTTAGAGGTATGGTGTGAATTAAGGTTGGTTCAGGTTAGAGTTAGGAATAGACTAGTAATGTTAGTTTTAGGGAAAATGTCTGGGTTGGGCTTAAATACAGTTATGAAGATGAATGGAGGTCAATACATAGTCCTCACTTTGATGCAAGAACAAGGATGTGTGTGTGTGTGTGTGTGTGTGTGTGTGTGTGTGTG